TATTTTGCCAGAAACAGAAAAAAGGTTCGATTATTTTCGATTTCGAATAATCGAAGGTTCGAATATTTTCGATTTCGAATAATCGAAGTTCGATTATGTTCGATTTCGAATAATCGAATTTCGATTAGTCGAAATCGGTGCATGCCTAACCTGGAACCTTTTTGAACCTTTTGAGCGAAATTTTCGCATGTGAAAACTTTCCTTTTTGAACAATGTTGTTTACATCGCTGTGTAAACGACGAATCACGGTGGACGCGTGACTTTATGCAACAGCTTGTCAGACACATTGAGAGCGATGTTGTCTGTTCGCTGTAAACATTATCGGCTGCCTACAAGAAAAAACGTTTGATAAATCATTTATCCTTTTGCACACATGAAATCTCTTGCTGTTATATCTCGAATGGGTTATAAAATTCAGTCTGCAATAATCGTCAGCTTTTTTTGAAAGAAAAGTTGCTTACGGGAGAATACATGCAATTACCAAGAAAACAGACTGTGATGCAGTTTTTGACACTCTTTTTGATGGCGAAGTTTAAACTTTCCGACAACGTCAGATTTTTTCCGCTAAAGAACGCACTGGAAAAAATAGTGTTTTATATCCCGACCGGGCTATATGACAAGGGAACGCTCGTCTGCACTCGCTCAATCCCTTGACTTTAGCAACTTATATCTACGAGCGATCTTCCATGAGTTGAAATCAAAGACTCGAAGGGAGGCTGCTAGTATTTCTGATGGATTCGCCATGACAGACTGTCTATATTCTGTAAATTTTACTATATGAGTAGGTGACTTTTTCTGTGTGATCAAAACGGACTGATTTCTAGCGACATGTGTCTGCCAACTACAGAAAGGTTTGCTAAGCTTTTTCCGTCTCTGCATCACTAATTATTTTTTAGTCGTTTCTTTGAATATTTTCTCTCTTGTGTAAAAACACAATTTTCTATTCTTTATATTTCCCTCTTCTGATTGACTTATCCATAGAACATCTGACTGCCATTTTTCCGTATTTGCGCACACACAGACAACAATTTTAAACTAAGGGAATTTTCGGTGAGATTTCAGTCACGATCTAAATGAACACAAAATAGGATATAAGTCCTACTTCTCTACTATCATCGAGTAGCAGAAAAGTTCTCGAAGAGTCTAACCAGTTTCCGAAAAATCCCAAAGAACAACATAAGAGTTTTATTAGAGCAAAATGACAGTGTTAGCGAGACGATTTAATTTCCATGTTGTTTTTAAAAGAGTATTTGACTAAAAATTATAATCTCAAACGAGAAAGAGTTTTGTCGTCAGATAAATGATCTGCAGTGTTAAAGTATTTTGCTGGATATTTAAACAGAGAGAGTACACCAAAACCATTACGTTCACACCTTGGACACAATTTTTAAATTTTCATCTGGACATTCTAGATGAATGGTGCGAACACATGATGAAACACTGAAAAGGATATTTTGTACTACAAATATGATATACCTAATATTTCATAAAAAGCATCAGAAAAAGGATGAATTAGTAATAATTGATTATAATGAAAATGAAATAGATTGTAGGCAGATCAATGATTTGATTGAAGATGATAATTGTGAATTAAGCGATATTAATGGTTCAAATGATGATAAACATTTAGCAATAGGATACAGACATGAACAAGAATTTGGTATTTATATATATAGATATCTTAATTCAGTCTGGGTACGTATAGAAAAGGTTAAATTAAATGAATGTGATGTTAATTCATACTTTACTCCAAGAATTTGTTGGATAAATCAATTAGATCTTTATTCAGTTATCGATTTTAAATCTGGTGATATGATAATGATAAATTGTAAAGGTGAATTAAATGGAAAACGTTCATATATATGTACAGATAAAGAAGAACTGAAGCCGATTAATATATGTTCACCAAAGAATAAAAATTGGTTAGCTATATGCTACGAAACATTGATTAGTATTCATACAATTATTGATTAATCGGTATCTCTACGTTAAATTCTTTCAACAGTTTTTATAATCACGTGTGTTAGTGTTATTATTATACAATCACGATTCCAGTTTACCAATGAACAAGAGTGTGTATTTCTTGTCTTTTCACTCGCGAAAAACAATTTCCGTTTTGAAGTAAACTTGCTTCTCTCTGAACAAAACGCGGCGCTTAAAGCATATAGTTAAAGCGTAAAAAGAGCTGTCTTTTTCTGACATTGTGAGCTAGCACTGTGCATGGGTACCATTTTCCCACCGGTAAAACTCGATGTTTCTGTACCATAGTATCATCGTTTCTCCAGAAAAACTTGATGTTATTCCATAAGGATTTCATCTTTTTTCCTAAAAACCTTGCTGTTTCTTCATAGAAACCACAGTATTGTTCCTGAAACACCCGATGTTTCGCAACACTTCATCTTTTCGCAACTTCATCTTTTTTCCTAAGAAAGTCCATGTTATGCTCCACAAGAACTTCATACTTCTTCCTGAAAAACTCGATGTTTCTAAACATGACCTTCATGTTTCTTCCTGAAAAGATTCATCTTACTCCACAAGGACTTTATCTTTCTTCTTGAATATGTCGATGTTTCCCCACAAGAACTGCATCTTTTTTTTTTCTCAACATGCAGCTTCATGTTAGTTCCTGAAAAGATGCATGTTCTTCACAAGGTCTTTATGTTTTTTCTGGAAAACTCGATGTTTCTCCACCAGCATTACCCTTTTCCCCGAAAAACCCGGCGTTTCTTCACAGGCACTTCATCTTTTTTCCTGACAAACTCGATGTTACTCCAAAAGAATTTCATCTTTCTTTCTAAAAATCTCTCTGTTTCTTCACCGGAACCACAGCATTTTTCCTCAAAACCTCGACGTTTAGCCACTAGAACTGCATGTTTTTTCCATGCAGAAACATGAAGGTCATGTTTAGAAACATCGAGTTTCTCCGGAAAAAACATGCAGTTCTTGTGGCAAAACATCGAGTTTTTCAGGAAAAATGCGATACAGAAAGCGGTACAGATTTATCAATTTTCTAAAATCAAACACTACTTTTTTCGGATTCGGCCTAAAAAACTGAGTGTAGATAAGTCCTTTCTGTTATCCGTACTTAAATATACTATAATCATAGTTCTTCGAACCAAAAAATGACGGGTCATAATCTCGGAGGAGCATTTCGAGAGCCTATCTAATAAATCTTTTTCTTGTACGTCAGCGAGTACTTTGGTCACTGCTGACCCCATCGCGCCACCTTTGATCTGTTTATAATATTTTCTGCCTAACGCAAAAAATGAGTTACTGACGTGAGTATGAAACTTAACATTCTAGCAATAGTGTCTATTGATATACCGTTTATTTTGTGATTCTTTGTTTTTGAAAGAAAGCGATAAACAGCGGAAACGAAGTCTTTCTGAGGGATCATAGTGTATAGGTCAGTGATGTCAAAAGTAAACTGTCGCGTCAATGAAGATACTGTATAGCTCAATGAAGGTGTGGGTGGGGGTGAGGACAAGCTTGAGCGAGAAATCCTGTGTTAAAAAACAGAGTTTTTGGAGACAAAATAGAATGGCACCATCTGCTGTTTCTAATGGCAGTGGTATGTTTATAAGCACGGTATCCGGAAGGAAATTATGCGAGAGCAAAGTGGCGGCGTTCTCGGAGTGTGTGGTTTTTAACAGACCTTCCTCTACAGTAATGTGTGTGTGCGCGCGAAAAAATTGGTGGAACGTTCGGAGAATTACCTGACGTCCTTCAAAGTTAGGGTGGAGACAGTCAGCTAGCATTTGTTCACCAAGATCAAAGTTCAGCATTTTAAATTTTAGAGACTCTGATAGGTCTTCTACTTTTTGATTATAACTTTGAATTTCTTCACATAGGATTTTTTGGCAGAAATTATGAAAACGACTGTTTTTGCTTCTGAACATGATCTTGGCGAGCGCGACGCTCCGTATTGCAAGGTAGAAACGACGCAAACAAGTTAACTGTTTATTTATCTAAACAAAGCAGGAAATAGTAACCTATTTCCTCCTCCTTTTGTATCGTTATCTTCATCATTTACTGCCAAAACCCTTGTAATCAAACTTCCGGTCTCTCGCTCTCCAAAATGCTCTATTCAAAAACACTTTCTAAATCACAAAGAAATATTTCAACTCAAAAGGAGAGCGTTTTGAAGGAGAGCGGCGTAAATGTCTCGGAATTTTTGACGTTTTTTTATTCACAACGAAGAAATAATTCAATTCAAAAGCCCGAAACTATTCTAGAAGTTTTTCTCAACAACCTTTCCTATTTGAGAAAACTTTACGTCGTTCCTATACATATTTCTGGATCGCTTAAAACCAACTCAAGTTCGACAACTTTTATATTAGCGAAGAAATCTTTGCAACGTTGCTCATTACCCACAGGAAATTACTAAGCTTTTATGATCAAACATTATCTGAGAATTAAATATGGCTTTTAATATGCAGTTTCCGTTAAAAGCATTTTCCACCGCCTGTCACGTCTTTTAATGCCTTGTATAAGCATGCGGTATTATAGTAACCATCGATGTCCTCGTTTTTCTTTCTCACTCTGCATACTAACAAAAGATTTTACGTTTTCTGGGTAGCTTGTCTCGAACAGTACACCTTGCTCAACAATAAATTTTTCATTTATTTCTTTTATTTTAAAAAAACATTCAGTCTTTCCTCTCTGATCAAAATAATATTTGTCGTTACATTTGAAGTAGACAAAATAAAGAATTTACTTTAATACCAGTAAAGCAGAAACGATGAAGAAAAACTAGAAACTACTTTTACAATCAACTAAAAAAGAGCTTAAATAATTTTTACTCGTGAAAGAAAAATTCTATATTGTTCACGGTGAGTCACGGAGAGTTGTGAGTGGCCACATTTTGTGAAATATGTTTATTCCATATTATACCATATTTGTCTAAAAAAGAAGACATTCCAGTGCAAAAGAAGAAGAGTGTGCTGTTAAACCTTATAAGCTAAATAACAGTTTGATATATGTTCGAAATCATTATTGTCAGTAAAAAGAAAAGAATGAACTCGAATGTTTTTTGAATAACGTTTGATAAGAAAGTTATATATCTGAACAGCTCAAATATACATTTTCACATTTAGTTTTTGATGCCGAACATGAAAAATACAGTCTCAGTAATTCCACAAAAAGCGGAGTCTATTATTTCGTCGTTTACAAGCGTTTGAACACCGTTTCGAACAAAAGAAAGACCCCATAGGAATATCGAATTTAATTTCTCTTGATCACCACATATAAATTGAAAGTTAAAACAAAATTTGATTAATCTTGCTGAGCATACATTTTCCCATTGTTTTCATCAAAATATTCGAGATCTTTTTCAGCAGTATGATCAATTATTAATGTTAAATATTCTAATTGTTCTAAATATTGCGTTGAATACACTATAAATTCAGAATCACATGTAATGTTTTTCAAGTGTATTTCTAAATGTTTTAATATGTGTGACTCTGATATATTCCATGATTGAGCTTCTGTGAAACCATAGTTATATCCAATTTGTACGTTTAATCTCAATAAATTTGGCATATTTTTTAAAATAATGAGTGTTAATTTAATAGACGTTAGTGTCATTACCAAATGTTGAATGGTTAAGCATGGTATCATATGGCTAGGGACATTGCCCATGGTGTATCAATGATACATATTCTTAAATTAGGCAGTTTATAGGGTATTTTTAACCATAACATTCGATAACTATAGTTTGGATGTGACCGAAATTTAAAATACAATAAATTTTTTGTTGAATCAATAGTGATACTTGTACGCAAATTCTCTTCGCCTGTTGCATCCAATACTGTTAAATATTTAAGATTCGAATACGTAACCAAATCCTTGAGATGAATCCTGTCAATATAGTAGTAATTGTTAAAGGTGATAGTTAACGAAACAATAATTTGATGGTATTGTAATAATGGCATAATACTTAGAGGCGACATAATTTCATTGGTGTTTACGTATAAATGTATGAGAAACAAAAGATTATTAAGACGCTGATTTAACCCATGGAATGCCAATAACATATCACAACTGTTCATATAACGGAAGATATTTAAGAGAAGTTCATTAGGTAATAACTCCATTGTTGTATGGTTTATACTTAACATCTGGAATATAAAGAATAACGGGTCGCTTTACTTTTACATTTTTTGGGCACTGGTATTGAGCTTAAATTGTTATTTAATCAACTGAGCCGCTGATTTTTGATCGGTTTAAATCGAAAACCTTAGATTTACATCACCAATAGGGCCGTAGCTTCGGAGTGTGTGTATGTGATGTAGAAATGTAGAATAGTTATTAAACCAACAAACACAAAAAGTCAAGTAAAAGGTTTGTTCTTTTTGTGCTTTGTTGGGTTTTGACCTGCTTGTTTTTAATAATTGTTTTCTCACAAACAGAGCTGTGTGTTGACATTCGCACAAGCCCAGCGGAACGGTGGTGCGACCTCGAGTAGTGGCAGCTTGAGGCTCGAAATGGGAACTTCGCCTCGACGAGAAATATTTCGGCTACAAGGGCATTCCCAGTCCACGCGTTCGACAAGACGGGTGGCAAGACAGGCTTCGATGTCCAAGGATGAGAAGCTGACCCTGTGTATATGTACTCTTTCCCCTCTTTCCGTTTGTTTTCATGTTTATGTTATCTTCTCTTGTTCCTGTTTTTTTGTGCTTTTTCTTTGTTTTTTTCTCTCGTGTTAACTTCTTCGCCCTAGTCGTTGTACTAATGATTTTTTGATGCGCGGGGCTCCTTTCTTTCTGTTATTGCGCAACTCTTGCTTCATAATGGGATTTTCCTAAACTAATGAATATATGAACAAGTTGGATCTCGTTCTCTCAACAATCGTGACACCATCTATCGAAAATAACCGCTGAAGTTCACAATGATTTGATGCATTGTTCGACACGAAATAACGATTTGTAATCCGTTCTTTTTGTTTTCCTACCAATTTTGAAAGAATTTATCGAACCCAATCAAAACAATTTGTTATCGAGTTGGTGATGAAATTTATACAATGAACAACTTACCCCGATGTTATGATCCATTCTTCAAACAACGTATTGTCGAATATTATCTTGAAAATCAGTCCACCATCACACAGTGGGCATTCAAGCGGACATTAGCCGAAAAAGCGAATTTCGTTTTATTTCAAATACGAGTAGTGGAAAATGTAGCTCTTTCGAAGGGCTATCGAATGGTGTATAAATGTCTATTTTGATATCGACTCCTTCGAGCAAAATATAGGGCACAAAGACGGCGTAGTGGACATTGAAAAGATGTGGCACATACGTGCAAAACAGCACCTCCTTGCTCACTCGTCCAAGTTAAACGATTTAAACTCACATATTCAGAATCAGCGTCTCCTTAGCTCCCTTTTAATAATAAAATGTGTCTACTTCGAAGCTAGATTGAATAACTTACACCTCACACACTCTTCGTAACGTCAGCTCCACATGAGACTACCTCAGTATAGTCGACTGGCCCCGTTAGCCCCACTCGAAACTAACATTCAAATATATGAAAACATTCCCCAGGACCTATTCTATTTGCTCTGCAAGCGACTTTTTGTTTAAGTCGAGTTATGGATTTTTCAAAACCCATAGGGATTTTGAGGTATTTCGTGGTTCTCCCTACCAAAACTGTTCGTTTTCCGAACAATAAGGTCATATTCGGAATCAGCGTGAAAAACTGCATCGAATAGTGTATAGCTCATTTAGTTTCGGTCGCTCGATGTTGAATTCTTGAAATTTCTTAGTTTTTGAGATTAGGGGTGTAGCCGTAGCGGTTTTCCTTCTCAACTGTCAACGCTACTGCATCAGTTGACGTTCTGAACTGTCAAGGTGTCGCATTAGTTGACGTTCTGAACTGTCAACGCTACTGCATCAGTTGACGTTCTGAACTGTCAA